TATTTATTTATTTTTATTATTATTTTTTTTAGAGATTTTTTGATATAGGGTGCATGTGCTCAGGACTCGAACCGCAGTTGACTATGTGGGATTCCAGAGACAGCCATTACCCCAACTGCTGGTCTCCGTGTTTGGCATTTTCTAAGGGAACAGTGGGATGGGGTGGGGAGGAGGTCATGTAGGGTAGCTCGGGCTGTGAGTGTCCGCGGAGAGCACACCCGGAAGCCAGTGCACCAGGAAAGAAAGCTCCAGAGACCAAGATATCCGAGCTGGGTGAACTGGTTTGTGATTTTACTTTGGGCTTCAGGGAAAAAAGTCATCGCTTCTTGAGGCCAGCACTGCTTTGTCAGAGCACTGACACATTCTCCGCTAGCTCGTCTCCATACCTGTGACCTGAAAATAGGCAGATTTATCTAAGTCCCAAAATGCTTGTTTTGGTAAAAAGAAAATCACTTCCGTCTACACTTCAGCCCAGAACTCTGTGTGGGGAAGGAAGCAGGAGTCTGCCCCACATTCACATGTCCTGAGAATAAACACCCCAAATGCTGACACACACGCAGGCCAGTTCTGACCTTTGACAGCTGAGTGACGACCCCGCACTGGACCAGGCTGCTGAGCTCCCGGGACTGCTCAGCTCTGTAACTCAGGTCAGGGTGACTTCATCGAGTCACAGACCGCAGACAAAGCTCCCAAACAACAGACTGTTCGGCAGTCAGATCACGCCCCAGCCCCTTGTTTAAAGCGTGTCTTCCTGCGTGGACACCCAGTAGCTTCCAGTGACTGCCCAGAAAACCCAGAGTGGGACGCACCCTCCTAGGTGCACCCCTGCGCTTGGCCGCTTCCCCCACACAGCTGGAGCGTCTGGAAAGCCCACGGACTTAACACGGCGATGCTGACACAGGCCAGCCTGTGGGTGCGGCTACACAGAAGACCTGGCACATGCCCAGATGGCTGGACTGGGAGTCTGTAAACCCTCACACCGTCAGGCAAGGTGTTTACGAAAGCACCGGCACAAAAGCCACTGTGAGAACCAGATCCCCCCCAAGCACATTAATACACAAAGGGGGTCTTCAGGAAACTCATGGAAGACACGGATCATGAAGAAAGTACATGTAGATTTCAGTATTTTTTTTCCCAGAGAGATTTTTGCTATAGGGCACATGTGCTCACTGGAGAGACAGAGAGACAGAAAGCGAGAAATCACCCCCTCCCCCAGAGAGAAAGGCCATGCCGTGATCCCTTCTCCTCCATTCTCCTCTCGGGATTCTGGGCTCAATGCACACGCTCCTGGTGTGAGTTTCAAGCCACCAGGTCCAGGACACAAACCACGGTCAGCCATGTGGGAGTCCAGTGCCCTAACCACTATACCACCTGCTGGCCCTTCAATTTCTTTCTTTCTTTCTTTCTTTCTTTCTTTCTTTCTTTCTTTCTTTCTTTCTTTCTTTCTTTCTTTCTTTCTTTCTTTCGTTCTCTTTTGCAACAAAAGTCTGTAAATTAAATCAGGTTTTCCATGAACTTTTCAAAGTCCCTCCTTACATAAAAACGTTTCCTCCAGGACAACAAAACCCCCCTAGTAAAAAACAGTAACTTGGGCCTGGCTGGTGGCATGGTGATTAAGGACACTGGACTCCCATGTGGCTGATCGCAGTTCAAGGCCTGGACCTGGTGGCTTGCTCTCTCACTTTCTCTCTCTGTCCCTCTCTGGTCAAATTAAAATAAATAAACGAAATAAAAAGTTAAAATAAAAAATAATTCTTTAAAAAAAAATAGCAACTTGTAAGTGGAGGTAAGAAGTGACTTTCTGGGTGGAAAAAGGGACATACAGACTAGAATGACTAGGCAGGGAACAGCAGCAAGACACGATGCTCCATGAAGTGGACCCATGTGGAAAGGCTGCAGGTTCAAGCCTGGCCACCTTCCTGAGTAGGCCAGGAGTTCGCATGCCCAAGATCTGGAGCTGGCTGAGGATGGGGGTGGACCCGCATCGACACCTGTGGGGAGAGTGGAGGGAGCCTGTCTCTCTTTCCTGCACACGCCCGTGGAAGAAATAAACTTTAAAAAAAAAAGAAACACGAAGACTGCAGTGTGAGAATCCACTGAAATCAGGGATGCAAAGTGAGGAAAATTACGTCCATCCGTCTGACAGAGCAGCAGGCCCAATGGGAAAACGGAACAGACCCCCATGTCAGAACTGGGAGCGTCCAAGAATACAGGCTCTGAGGCTACCACCTAGGGCAGTGTCCCCAACCTTTTTTTTGGCACCAGGGACTGGTTTCCCGGAGGATGACTTTTCCACAGAGCAGGTAGTGGTGGGGGGCAGTTTCTGAGTGTGCACAACCTAGATCCCGCGTGTGTGCAGTTCAGGATTGGGCTCATGCTCCTATGGGAGCCTGACACCCCTGCGGGTCTGACAGCAGGTGGCGCTCAGGTGGTAACCGCCAGCCATGGGGAGCGGCTCTAAACACAGATGCAGCTTCACTCCCTTGCCCGCTGCTCACCTGCTGTGCGGCCTGGTTCCTAAAGCCACGGACAGGTGCCAGTCCACAGCCCAGGATGGTGGACTCTTGGTGTGGGGAACCCGAAGAATGGTCAAGGGACAAGACTGGACCGAAAGGAGGAGCAGACTGCAAGTTCAAACTGCTCAGAGGAGAATAACTGAGCTCTAGAACGAGCTGGAAGCTGAGGAGGGATGGAGGGGTGTCCTCTTAAGGAGCCAAGACCTCCCTTGAGGGCTGTGAGGTGGACACTGTAGTCACAGGGTCCTAGCCCTGGACCACAGCCTCCCCTCCTAGCAGCAGGCTTTGTGGCTAGGAACGCCAAAGGCCCAGGTCAGAGCCAAATGGTTGATAGGTGGCTTTCTCCAGACCACCACTGCCTTTCCTTCTCCCCAGGTGAAGGAAAGGTTTGCAAAGGGAACCCCCACCCCACCACCCACCACCCCAGTTCTAGTCTCACAGGACCAAGCAGCTGAGTTCAGACAGGCACCTCCCCAGCTGGGTCCCAGTCGGTGGATGTCGTGGCTGGCTCCCTGCTGTCTGCTTCTAGGTAAAGGACGAGGCTCAAGCTCACATCTCCACCTCTGAGGCCGGGGCTGACACAGCTCTGGCCTCTCCAACTCTTCTGCCTGTCACTCCTACCCCACATTGTCCCGAGACTTACAAGCCATTTCCGCAAGCTCCTTCCACTTTCAAACCTTACATTTTCTAGTCCGCTCTTTTCATTCAAAAAGTACCAACTGCAGTGGGATTTGCACGTGTGCTCACACCGAAGCGTAAGCAGAGAAGTGCGTGTGGCCCTGGGGACTCCCAGGGCCAGTGCGGCCACTCTGAACACACTCAGCCCGGCACACGTCTCAGCGCGCTGTCATAATCACACCTCCCTTCTGAATCACAAGTGTTAACCCCAGGGGCTAACCCGGGCCATCAGCATCAATCAAACCCACGAAAGCAGCCAGTGCTGGGCTAAGAAATCTCAGGTCGGGGAATAAGAGCGAAACCTGCAGTGCCTTTAGAGAGTGAGGAGGCCTCTGGAAGACAGAAGTGGGAATGGTGAGGATCTGCTCACCACGCGTACAAGAGAACATGCACGCGCACACACACACGCACACACACACAACGCGCACCCGTCAGCTGACTTGGGCTGAGTTGCCACACATTATTACTGTGCTAACGAACGGGTATTTATTCAGCAGAGAATAAATGGCAAGGCGAGTAGGAACTAACAAGGAAAGAAAAGGTGGCAAAGGTACACAGTTGGGCACTTGTTGCAGGGTTTCTCAAGGCCAGGAGACCAGATCAAAGCAGTACCTAAGATCAGAGCCTCCTCTCCAGGGTTCCTTAAAGCCTGGGGGACTCAGCGGCACCAAGCTGCAGGGTCCCTCCCCGGAAGGAGGAGCGCGGAGGAGCGCACCTGCACCTTCGGCAGGTGAGCCCAGTAGGAAGTTTTGCGAAGTCATTTTGGAATCAATGGCTGCGTACAGGTAGTCACAGCCTCTCCTCATAACTAAGCACAGGGCACTCCTCGGCCTACGTGCCAAAGCCACAAAGCTTCCCGTTACTTTAACAGAGGAGAGGAGACATGCCAAAAAACCAATGTCCCCTGTCCCCCCATCCCAGAGCACACAGGACAACAGGGTGAGACTCCTAACTCCCCAGAAGGGCCCTGGAGGGCTTCCTTCTTCATCACCACACTCCCCAGGAAGGGGCCCTAGTGACTTGGCACAAAAGATTCTGAGTCCCCCACTGAGCCCGAATTTCATGGAAAAGAAGGAAACTCCAAATCTAAATCATAAAAGTGAGCTGGGGAAGAGCACAGCCAGAGATGCGACTTAATTAGGAAAGCTTGGGGCAAGAGGAACAGGTGTGCCTCTGGAAGGGAGGAAAGGAGGGAGTCCGTGTGTGGGAGGAGGCAGTTTGGGTGGGTCTTGCCCTGAACACAGGGAAAATAAAGCGGAGGGAGGTGGACCACCTGGAGGAGGGCAGGCGCGGCCCTCAGACGCCAGGTACTGGGAGGGATGCAGGTAGCAGGCTCTAAACGCGAAGGGAGACAGTAAATGCTTGGAGTGAAGGTGCAGAGGAGAGCTCAGCATGACTGGGGATTTAGGGATGAGGGTTCACAGAGCGAAGGGGGCGCTAAGGAGAGCCCTTGAGAGAGGGGGCAGAGAGGGGGGTTCCACCCTCAGAAGTCGTGGCTGCAGGCTGGAAAGTGCAGTAACCTTAATTCGAGAAGACGAGATGGGGGGGGCGTTTCAGGCGGGCATTCAAAGAAACGTCTAAGGTGGAGAGGAGCAGGGCCACCCCTGTCTAGAAGCTGCAGGGACAGGGCTCGGAGCTCGGGACCAAGGCAAAGGGGACCAGGACTCCCATAGTCTGAGAATGCCCAGGATGGTCTCGCGCAGGGGAAAGGCAGGCCTGAAGACCCGGGCAACAGGGTTCCCGGGGCGAGGCATCCCAGTGGCGGGTCGCTTATCGCCTCTGGAGGGGTGGGGATCCCAGACTCACGCATCAACGTGCTGAAGGCCACGACGCCGAGCAGTCCCTGCAGGAAGATGCCGAAACTGTGCATGAGCGCGCCGCTCTCGCAGCGGCCCGCCCCAGACGCGACCGTGGAGGAAGGCCCACCCGGCAGTCCGCGGCTGGGGGTGCCCGCGGGGCC